CAACTTTGGGGATGCTACTAGCATCTAAAGGCTGGGGTGCTGCCAGACATCCTACCATGCATGGGACAGCCTCCAACAGCAAAAGATCATCTAGCCCAAATATCAACAGTGCTAAATTGAGAAACCCCACACGAAGGCAACCTCTTGGGCAAAACTCCTGCTCTCTTCCCCACCATCACATAACGACCGTAGAGCTTTCTTTAAAACACTTGGTATCTCCTTTAAAGCACATATCACTTCACCCACGGTATCATTTGTTTTGAAACATTTTAAAGCTCTAGAAACTCTTACTATGTATAAAAATAAAATTGGACTAACTCTTGCTTGAAGGAATGGGAAGGTGGGAATAGCTCTATCTATCAGCTCTAAGGAGGATCCTTGAAACTCCTAACACACACCCAGCAACTAGTGAGCATGTATGATGTGCTAGGTCATGCGCCAGTGCTTGACATGGATTATCTTCTTCATTGCTGCATCCTTAATTTTGGCCCAGTGCTTTGCACACAGTAGGTATTAATATATGTTGAATATCAAATTACTTCATTTACTCCTTCTAGGGGTCTGGATTAGTCTCTTGGGCTGCCTTAACAATGACACCAAGTCATTAGATTTCAGGCCCACCCTAATCCAATATGATCTCATATTAACTAATTACATCTGCAGACCCTATTTCCAAATAAAGTCCCATTCTTAAGTTTGGGCTGGATATGAGTTTTGGAGGAACACTATCCAACCCGCTACAGTTACCCTCTGGTCTCCCAAAATTCATGTCCATCCCTTACGCAAAGTGTATTCATCTCATCCCAACATCCCAAGTCTTAACTCATTCCAGCATTAACTCTAAATCCAAATTTCATCTAAATGTCATCAATTCAAAAAGTTCCAACTGTCATCATCTTAATCAGGTATGGGTGAGACTTGTAGGTATGGTATGTTCTGGGGCAAAATTCCTCTTTCTCTATGGACTTGTGAAACGAGAACAGAAATTATCTGTTTCCAAAATACAATGGTAGGACAGACATAGGATAGACATTTCCTTTTTTTTTTTTTTCAGACAGAGTCTCACTCTGTCACCTGGAGTAGAGTGCAGTGGCATCATCGTAGCTCGCCACAACCTCAAATTCCTGGGCTCAAGTGATCCTCCTGCCTCAGCCTCCTGAGTAGCTGGGACTACAGGTGCATGCAACAATGCCTGGCTAATTTTTCTATTTTTAGTAGAGATGAAGTCTTGCTTTTGCTTAGGCTGTTCTTGAACTCTCAAGCTCAAGCAATCCTCCCGCCTTGACCTCCCAGAGTGCTGGGATTACAGGCGTGAGCCACCACGCCAGGCTGACATCCCTCTTTCAAAAAGGAAAACATGGAAGGAAAAAAGGGGTCATTGGTCTAAAGCAAGCTTGAACACCATCAGGGAAAGTTTCATTAGGTTTTAAGGCCTGAGAATAAGACTCTGTAGCTTGAGGCTCCATCCTCTGGACCCAGGGCAGTGGGCCCCATCCTCAGAGTCATTCTTTTTCTTGAAGGATAACACATCTGCAGCCACATACTATGTCAGCCTATTCTACCCGTGGAATTTCAGAAGTCTAAGAGTTGTCCTTTATTTCATCCCATCTCTGTCCTTTTCAGTCCAGGCTGACAGTGTTTCTGTTGGTATAAAATTCTCAGAAACCTTGTTGGTCTCCTGTGCAACTCACTACTTAGAAGTGTAGGAGGCCCACATCATCATTCCCTATCACACTTTACTATGAGCAGCAAGGAAGAACCAGGCCGAATCTTCCACACTCTACTTGGAAATCTCTTTGGCAAGTTTTACTCGTATCCAACAGCAAACACAGTTCAGCCAAGTTCTCTGCACTTTATATCAAGGGCTGTCTTTTGTTCAGTTTCTAACAACATGTTTCTCATTTCCATCTGAGACCTTCCCAGAAGCATCTGTTAACACTCATATTTCTAGCAACATTCTGTTATGATGATGTATGTATTCTCTGTGTTGATAGAAGATATTGCTACAGTCTACTCCCTTCTTTCTGAGCCCTCACCGGAATTGCCTTTAATTTCCATATTTCTACCAAAAGTCTTTTCAGGGTAATCCAGGCCTTTTCTGTCATGCGCCTGAAAATTCTTCCAGCTTCTATCCATTACCCAATTCCAAAGCCACATCCACATTTTTAAGTATTTGTTACAGCAGCACCCCACTTTCCAGTACCAAAGTTTGTATTAGTTTCCTGCATCTGCCACAACAAATGACCTTAAAACAGAAATTTCTAGTGTCCTGGTTCTGGAGGCTAGAAGTCCAAAATGAAGATGTCCTCAGGGCCATGCTCCCTGTTGAAGACTCTAGGGAAGAATCTTCTCTTGCCTCCTCCTAACTTCAGGTGGTTCCTGGCAATCCTTGCTGTCCTTTGGCTCGTACCTAATCACTCCAATCTCTGCCTCCATGGTTACGTGGGCTTTGTCCCTTTGTGTCCTCTCTTTCTCACTTCTTCCTTCTTCCTCCTTCCTCCTTCCTCCTTCTCCTTCTCTTTCTCCTCCTCCTTCTCTCCCTCCCCCTCCTTCTCTTCCTTCTTTTTTGAGACAGGCTCTTGCTTTGTCACCCAGGCCAGAGTGCAGTGGCATGATCATAGCTCACTGCAGCCTCTAACTCATTGGCAGTCCAAGCGATCCTCCTGCCTCAGCCTCCTGAGTAGCTGGGACTACAGGCACATACCATCATGCTTAGCTAATATTTTTATTTTTTGTAGAGACAGGGTCTTGCTATGTTGTCCAGGTTGTCTCTCCTCTTCTTAGAAGGACACCAGTCATTAGAATTCGGACCTACTCTAATCCAGTATGACCTCATCTTAACTAATTTCATCTGTAAAGGTAACATTCTGAGGTTCTGAGTGAACACAAATTTTGGGGGAACACTATTCAACTCATTAAAAATCCTTAGCAGCAGAGTTCAGAAATCAATACACTAAACACTGTACCTCTTGAAGGCATGCCTTCATGTTTATCTCCCCACCTTCTAGCCCAGGTCATAGGACGCAGTCAAACAGTGTTTGCTGGCATTTGTACACCAGTGTATATAGCAGCATTTTTCACAATAGCCACAAAGTGAAAACAATCCACATGTCCATTGATAGGTGAAAGATAAACAAAATGTAGTATATACATACAATGGAATATTATTCAACCTTAAAAAGGAAGGAAATTCTGACACCATTACGGCATGGATAAACATTGAAAACATTATGTTAAGTGAAATAAGTCGGATACCAAAGAACAAATATTGCACGATTCTACTTATATGAGGTACCTAGAGTAGTCAAATTCATAGTCATGCAAAGCAGAATAGTGGTTACCAGAGGCTGGGAGGAGGGAGTACTGAGGAGTTAAGTGTTTAATGGGTACAGAATTTCTGTTTGAGATGATGAAAAAGTTCTGTAGGTGAATAGCGGTGATGGTTGCACAACAATGTGAATATATTTAATACCACTGAATTTTACACTTAAAAATGGTTAAAATGGACTGGGCTTGGTGACTCACACCTGTAATCCTAGCACTCTGGGAGACCAAGGTGGGAGGATTGCTTGAGGTCAAGAGTTCGAGACCAGCCTGCGCAAGAGCAAGACTCTGTCTCTTTCTACCAAGAATAGAAAAATTAGCTGGGTGTGGTGGTGTGCACCTGTACTCCCAGCTACTGAGGAGGCCAGGGCAGGAGGATCATGTGAGCCCAGGAGTTTGAGGTTGCAGTGAGCTATGATGACACCACTGTACTCTAGCCAGGGTGACAGAGTGAGAGTCTGTCTAAAACAAAACAAACAAAAGAAAAAAGTTAAAATGTTAAATTTTATGTTGTATATATTTAACCACAATAAAATAAATGTTTGCTGGAAGAATAAATGAGCTCATGTTCAGGACATTCTCATACCAGGTGCCTAGATTACTAGTTCTCAGCTTCCGGTTCCTTCTTATCTTCACAAAAATAATAACAACAGAATCCACTTACTAATTACTTATTATATGCCAAGCACTGTGCTAAGCATTTTGCATGCATTGTATTATTTAATCTGCATAACGACAACCTTATTTATGTTAGATATTGGAATGTCCATTTTACAGATGAGAAAACTGAGGTTCGGGGAGCATGAGAAACTTGCACAAGGTCACCAGCTAACAAATGGAACACTGGGGTTTGAACTCGTGTTTCCTCACAGACCAAACTCTTTATCACTTTGCAGTACTTCTTCATAAGTACTCAGTACAGCCTCTCCGGCATGTGTGTGCCATGCTCTGAAGATCTGTACAAAAGGTGGTCTCTTATTAGCTGAGACTTATATGGTGCTTTCCTACATGCCTGGAAGTACTTTACATGTATTCACATCTTTAATTCTGTGACAGGCCTCAGGGTGGGCACTATTATTACCCTCATTTTGCAGATGAGGAAATGAGCCACAGAAAGGTTAACTCGCCCAAGGTCACAGAACTAGGTATGATCCCAGGAAAGGAGATTTTGGGATCTTTTAACCACTTATTCTTTGTCCTTTCTAACAGGAAGAAATCCTCTGCTTAATGGCACCATGAGGGCACAGTGACTAACGTTTCATCTCTTCAGGACATTATTCCCCTGCTTCCATCCTTCCCATGACTGAAATGTCTGTGGAACCAGTGCATAATTGAGCAAAGTGGTCCCTTTTAGTCGAAGTCCCAGTTCAGCCCAGTGGTACTTTGCCATCAGACAAAAGTACTTGAGGTTCTTTGTCTGAGCGGACATGCTTTTCCTGGCACCTTCCTTCGATAATTTCAGTTCTTGCACTGTGTCTTAGTTGTCTGCGTTCATGAATTATTGGACTTCTTCATATTGACAGTGTCTATACGCACAGGCTTACGCACAGTAGGCAAGATAAATGAATGAGAAATAAATTTTCACAAGGCCCCAAGGGCCTTCCTTATTGCAGCCTCTTGAATTTTCCTGTATTATCTCAAGTCCTCCTGGGGGGAAATCTTTGCACTCGAATTGCTCAGCCTGGATCCAGCTCCCATCCTGCATCTTAGGGCGACAAAAGCGTTTCTGCTGGCCTCTTCACCTTTGGCTTGAAGTCTGAACCCGATTTGGGGCGAGAGGAATCTATCCCTCGGTTTGCCCTCCTCAGTCTCCAGGGGAGTAAAAGGGAGAGTTTGAGTGTGTCTGCGGCCATCCGCAGACAGCCATCCGCCTGCGTTTTTATCCAGAACCTACATTTTCAGGCCCTGAGAGGTATCCATATTGGTAGTTATTGCACGTACTCATCTTGGAGCGTCTGAATATTCATGAGGGAAGCAGAAAGGCCAATGTTAAAGAGGGGAGAAACAGTAATTCATAAATATTAATAAAGCAGGCCCACGTGCTCCGAGGAAGGCTATGAATGTCAACGAGAGGATGACGTCCAGGTCCTGCGCGTGCCAGTTGGGCGGGTGCTCGAGTGCGGGCGCGGCCCTGGGAGCCCGGGCACGAGCAGCGGGGAGGGGGCGGGGTGGAGGAGGAGAGCGGAGCCGGGCGCCGCCGGAGCTGCTGGGGGAGCGCTCGCTGGCTGGCTGGCTGGCTGGCTGGCTGGCTCGCCTCTGCCTCTGCGCTGCGCTCCGGCCGCTCGCCGCGGCCCGTGGATGGGGGTGTGCGGCTGAGCCCCGGGATCCTCCTCCCTCCGCCAGGACCCGCACAGGTGCCGTCGCGGGGGGCGACCTTAGTGCAGACCCGGCCCACTGCCGCTGGTGGGGGTCGGATGGGGGTGGTGAAGGAGGCCCTGGGGCTCGGGATTCTCAGGCTGCACGGTCTGGGGGCGCCGCTGCCCCCCGTCCCCACCCCGTCCCATCCAGAGATCGGAAAGGAGGAGTCCACGGGCCATCGCCCTCCTGCCCAGCCCTTCGGGAGCGCAGCTTGAACGCAGCGCCAGGGCCAGGGGAGATGTGGTTGATGGGCACTTAAAGTATCATCTCAGAGCATCGGCTCCCCGGCCGGGCCTGGCGTGTGTGCGTGTATGTGTGTGTGAAGGGAGGCGGCGCGGCGTGGGGGCCTCGGGGAGGCAGCGAACGCTGCCCTGTCCTGCTGCTGTAGTGGGTCGGTGCCTCATCCCAGGACCGTTATCTGGTCCGGTCACCTTAAAGGTCCCAGAATCATCTTTGTCCCTAAGAACCTACACCCTACCCCTTCCGGTGCCCCTCCCCGGGGTGCGAAGCCTTTCCCCAGACCGCGCATTCCTGCAGTGTCAGAACCGCTGGCAGCGGCGGCCGCAGGCGCTGGGGGAGCGATTGTTTTACTACCGAACGGGTCGGAGAAAGGACGAGCGGGCTGGTGTGGTTGTGGTGGGGGACGCGCTGCCGTCCTGAGGGCCCGGGGCTCTGGAGCTGGGCAGCGCAGCGTTTGATAGAGCCTGAGGGGGTGTTATCACAGCCCGCTTTCTTCCCTCCAGCCTATCCCTTCCCTCCTGGCTGCTCGACACCCCCGACCCCCTCCCACTCCCGTGTCTGCGCCTCGTTTGGCCAAAAGGGCAGTGGAGTACGTGTGCGGCCTGCGCAGGGTGAGCCCAGCTTCCTTGGAGCGCCAGCCATTGTGCTGCCTGGAGGAGCCTTTCTTTACCCCAACGGACGCGGGAGGGTGGAGAAGGGGGATCTGAGCTGGAGGTGAATGGAGGAGCAGCTGGAGGAGGGGAAGGGGGAAGCAGAACCGCGAAGGGGCTGCTGATCCACATACAATGAAATACTCTCTTTCCTTCACAATGTGCAGTTGGCACAAACATGTACACTGGCTGGGTTTGCTGAGGAGCAGTGGAAATCTGAAGGTGGATCAGTGGCGGGCAGGTTTTGGGGGTGGCTATGGTAGTGGCGGTGGGGGCACAGAATCAATTGATCTGTGGAGCAAGTAATGGAAGAAGGGGGGAGGAATGGGGCTTGTGTGGAGGTGCAGAGGCCCAGCAGGGGAGGCATGGTGAAATCTCTGCTGCTGCTCCACTCCACTTGGCTCAGCAGGGGCTGATAATTTGTACCGCAGCCCCAAGCTGCAGCTAGTGCATCATTATGTTGCAGGGAGAGGCTTATGCGTTTCCTATTGGGTCTCTGTTAAGCTTCATGTGTGTCTTTTCTTTTCCAAATCACACCATCTATTGGGAGCCAAGATAAATGGAACAGATTACAGGACAAAATCAAACTATAGTCCTGCAGTCAGTTCTATGGTAAAGAGAAGAAGGAAAGACAGCCCTCCCATACATCCTTCTTTATGTCATTTTTCGTGGTATTAATTTATTTATTTTGATCTTGGAAATCTAAAGAGGATAAGCTATTACTTGTATTAACCCTAGATTTTAAGGGGAGGCAGGCTAGGAGATGAACCCAGAATGAGGACAGGTGCAAACTGGCTTTCAGACATTTTAGTTGGGGGAGGTAGGCACCGTGCCAAGAAAGGAGGGCAAAAGAGTGGGCTAAAGGAAGGAAGGCAGGGGTGCCGTCTCAAGAGGTGCTGCCAGCCCTAACCCTGGGAGTCGTCTGGAGGCTATGGGAGGGCCAGTCAGAACCTTGACTCTCATCTCCTCTGCCACAGCCTGGGGTCTTTCCACAAATGCTGGGTTCAGCTTGGGTGTTGAGTGACTTCAGCTTCCCAACACAGGCTTTCACTTTTAGCTTTGTCTCCAGATGGTCATTCATGCAGCACTTCTTGGCTCCTGAGTAGTGAGTTGATGAAAGGCAATCAGGCTACATTACGGATTGTTTCAAATGACCATGTGTCCAAGCTCTAGAGCTGTGATATTCATTTCTTCTTTTATAATCTTCTGGATGAATCCATTTTCTCTAGAGTCTGCTTGGGCTGAGGAGAGGTGCTTTTCTGCATACTTTTCCTGTTGCCGACACTCAAAACTCGATCTTAGTCATAGATCTGGTTGGATTGGCCTCTTGCTGCTGATTAATGGTATATGGACTGTGCAGATTCAAATCAACAACTCCACTGGTGTCACCTACCTTGTCCGAGCTCCCCTGTCACTCCTAGAGATGAGTACAAATTGGAAGGAAGTGTAGATATCTGCAACACTGGCTGGTTAGCTTTCATATCTCTGTGAAATGGGACCAGTGATCCAAGAAACTTTGACCAAATGAATTAGAAAAAACCTTAGTAAAAAAGATGC